CACTTACAGTTTTTCACGCTACACTTACATGTTATCATGTTATACTTTCAGGTTATCACGTTATACTTTCAGGTTATCACGCTACACTTACAGGTTATCACGCTATACTTTTAGGTTATCATGTTATACTTACAGTTTATCACGTTACACTTATAGTTTATCACACTACACTTACAAGTTATCATGCTACACTTACAGTTTATCACACTACACTTACAGTTTTTCACGCTACACTTTTAGATTATCTACTTTCATAGTCTTACAAACTCCAAAATTGCACAAAATTTCAGTCTTACAAACTCTAAAATTGCACAAATTTCCACAATTACAAAATTGCACTAACAAAACTTTCATTATCTACTTTCAAAGTCTAACAAACTGAAACAATATGTTACAAATAAAACTCCAAAATTTGAAGATACAAGCAATGCTCTGAAGTATATACAAGATAAATTGCGCCATGCTCACAGTTGTAGAGAGAGAAAGAGCTTGTTTTGGTCCTCTACCTTCAGCCAAGATGCCTCTGAGACATCCCAAGAAGCCTAATGGAGAGGAGCATTTTGTGCCTAAGAAGAAGAAGCCTCTGTAGAACTCCAGCAACCAGCAGCAAAAGCTCGAGCTCGAGACTCCGCGGACTCTTAAGGAAGCTAAGAAGAGCTCTTGGAAGAGACGAAGGCAAGGACGGAGGCATCGACGAGAGCTGAGAACGAACATGAGACGGCGATGACAACGGCGAAAGCTGATTAAGGACACGACCCGGGGACAGACACGAGATCGACGACGACGATGGAGACGCGACACCAGACGACGATGGACACCAACGGCGGAGCGGAAGAAAGGGGCAATTCGGCTTTTTCAGTTTAGGCTCAGAGATGAAAAGGGGAAAGAGGAGACAGAGAGAGAGCGATATATAATATATATATATATAATATATATATATATAATATATATATATATATATATATATATATATATATATATATATATATATATATATTATATATATATATATATATATATATTTATATATATATATATATATATATATAATATATAGAGAGAGAGAGAGAGACGGAGAGAGAGAGAGAGGCGATTTAAGTGTGGGTATTGAAAGAGGTATTTTGGGGTTTTTACCATGTTTGTGTATAAATACAAGTGCTCTACCTACTGTATTTTGGAAATTGGATTTAAAAGAAAAAACAAAAAGATAATAGGATTTAATAATACAAGCAATAGTGATTGGGTTTATATGTAAAGCTGAGTAAATAAATGGGCCTAGAAATAAAAACCCATATATCATACTCATATACTCCTTTTAAAAGCACGAGTTCGGGAAAATCTTTCTGTGGTTAATATTATCCTTCACTATTTTAAATATTTTATTTATATTTTAATCTATCCTAATTATAATTATATCCTATGTGAAGTATTTATATTTTAATCTATCCTAATCATAATTATATCCTATCCTAATCCTATGTGAAGTATTTATAACTAACATCTTCATAATTATATCCTATCCTAATCATAATATATAAAACATCTTCATGGTATTAGTTTGTTAAGATAAAGAAATTATACGTAGCTAACATACTATAATACATAAAGTATTTTAAAAAGCCCAAAAAGTTTTAAAATTGCACAAAATACCCTGAAAAGTTCAAAATTATAAAAACTTTCCCGACGTCTAAAAACTTAAAACAACAAACATGAAATCAAGAAATTAACAGTAGTTTGCGAAGAATTTAAAATTTATAGTTAACATCTCAATATCTCAAAAATTATAGGAACACCCTCAAAAGTTTAAATTACAAACAAGCACCTGAAATTCTAAAATTTAAAAACTTGCAAACAACATAGATGAATTCAAGGGATTACCATAACGTACCTGAAAATTTCTGATATTTCAAAACTTAAAACAATAAATATGAAATTAAGAAATTAATAGCAGCCTCCTAAGAATTTAAAATTTTCAATTAACACCCTCAATGTCCTAAAAATTATAGAAACACACTCAAAAGTTTAAATTATAAAAAACAACTCCGAAAAACACCCTCAATGTCCTAAAAATTATAGAAACACACTCAAAAGTTTAAATTATAAAAAACAACTCCGAAAATTTAAAAATTTAAAATTTATAAATAACAAAAGATGAATTAAAGAGATTACCCTAATGCGCCTAAAATTTTAAAATTTGCCGAAATTAACCTCAAAGTTACAAAAGTTATAGAAAAAACTCTTTTAAAATTTAAAATCATAAAAAACTCTAAATTTTTAAAATTTATAACCAGTACATATCAAATCTGAAAACTATTGGTAAACCGCTAAAATTTAAATTTTTTAAAAATTAATCTACAGTTTTAACAATTATAAAAACAACCTTAAAATTTTAGAGTTGTAAGATATATTGTGACATTTAAAATTATTACTGACACATGAAACATAGAAGTTACAATCACCAAACTTAAAAGTAATTTTTAAAATGCTCCTAAGGTTTTAAAAATTACAAATTACACCCTCAAAGTTTAAAAACATAAAAAAGGCTGAAATTTTAAAACTTGGCAAAGAAAAGTATAGTTGTTAGGTATTCTTTCATTTATATATATATATATATATTCCAATTTAGGGTTTACTATCCCTTTTCAGCATCTAAAGATAGTCTAAATTGATAGTGGTAAACAAAAGCAATAAAAATTGATTAAAAAATATCAGATTAGGGAATAAAAATTTAAAAAATATTATACCTTAAAAATTATCGTTACCATATAAATTAAAGCAACTACATAAAATTTTACTAATAAGTTGGAGCAGCAAAACACATTAGTAACATTAATTGATAGATGTTTAAATCCATAAAAATATAAAAAGACTATAATATAATAGCTTAGCATTAATTTATTATAATTTAGAAACATTAATCTTTGATGTTAATAATATTAATAGAGTAAAAGAATACAATAAATTACGTATAGAGATACTATCAGAATGTTCAGAGATATCATTCAAAAGAATCAAGCTATTTTCATTGCAAATGAGAAAATGACGAAAATAAATCTAAAATTCAGAAAACATCCATGAATCATTTGAATTAGCATTAACATAAATAATGTCTATTAAAGAAGCACCAACTTAGTTACATTAAAGAATAATTTATTAACTTTATCTCAATCAAAGAAGAGTTCTCTATAAAAGATATAAGGAAAATTAGTAAGCATTCATAAATTTCATACTTTGTTCTTCAACTACTAAAGAAATTAAATATTAAGATTATAATCTAAGAAAAATTAGCAATAAAAATGCAGATATTTAGTTTAGATCTTTGTGAAGAAAAATTAGCAATAAAAATGCAGATATTTAGTTTAGATCTTTGTGAACAATGACAGGGATAGAGCAAATGTAATATCATTAACGTAACAGAAACTCTTATTGGATGCACATCGGAAGAATTCATTGTAGAGAAAAAATAGGTAACTCCTAATCTTATTAAGTAATAAATTAGAAACACAAAGAATTTCATATATATATATATATATAAAGATTAATATTTATTCTCATTGAAATAATAAAAAAATCAAAGTCTGTATTTTAAGAAGTTTGTGTTGAACATTGGAAATACATTTAACTTCTTTGTGAAGTTAAACAATAAGATAAAAGATTAACGAGCCAAGGAAAGATAATAGCAAAAAAAAATACAATTCTAGCATGATGTCACAATCGAGTAGATGATGAAAACACTACACTAGAATTGCCCGGGGGAAAGATAAATGTGAGGAGGGATTGATTTTAGATCAATAAAAAAATAAAAACATAAAGAATAAAAGATAATATTTTTTAAATATTTTATAGAATAGTTTAATTACTTTGAGTGAATTTAGGAATCTTTAGAAGGGAGTTTCATGAGCTTTTTAGTACTTTTATATGCTTGTGCAGATGCTTTTATCATATGAAAGTATACTAGAGTTAACATTAATCTTTAATTTATAATTTCTTATGAAGTCTATCAATGATTAGGAACAAACTTCATATTCTCTTTTGTATCATTTTAGTATACTTTTAACCAATCATTTTGCCTTATTGATTTTAAATATTCATCTTCCTTGTATAATATTATTTTAATATTTTTTACTTTTGGAACACTGTACTTTCTCAAGTAAAGCTTGGTATCATGTCAGCCAAAATAATATGAAAATTTTAATTAGCTTCAAATTATATTTAGTTTCTATCAATTCAAATATCAAAATAAAAATCTAAATTAGGTGTAGCTCATTTAAACAAACGTCAAAGAAAATAAATAATCACAATATTAAAATTTAGAGACAAAAGTGAACATAAACTATTAAAGTGGAACCGAGGAACAAATTTTTGTTAGAAAATAATCTAAAAATACTTAATCATGATATTTAACTACGTGCATTGCACGTGTAGAAAACCTAGTATTAATAACAACACAAGAAAAGGAAAAGGGGCAAAAAGAAGGTAAAAAGACCCGCTCTCTTCCGGACTTCAAGCATAAAAAACCGACCCGTTTAAAACCGAACCCCGATAAAGTGGGTCAACTCGGTTCACTCCCCGCCGCNNNGCCACCGCGTCCCCCCCCCCGCCGCTGTCTTCTTCTCTGTATAAAACTCTTTCACAAACCAGAAAACCTCTCATCGACGAAATCCAGTAGGCCCATGAAAGTCTCTTCTTTCTCCTTACTCAAGATTTTTCCAAAAAAAAAACAATAATAATAATGATAACACTTCATCGTTCTCCAACCACCCCCATGCCCTAGATCTTCAAACAACCTCTGTGATTTCTTATTAAAATCTTCAAGAAAGCGCAGATATGAGTGTTGTGAAGTCTCAAGTGTGGCAGCCGTGCAAAAAGAAGAGATCTTGACGGTAAAGATCCAATCTTTGCGAGGAAATTTCTAAAAGCAGAGATTAGCGGGTTAACGGGTTATCGGGCGGAGATGGTCGGCGGCGGCGGCGGAGGGAGGACGAGGGTGGGGATAGCGGGTTAACGGGTTATCGGGCGGAGATGGTCGGCGGCGGCGGCGGAGGGAGGACGAGGGTGGGGAAGTATGAGCTTGGGAGGACGCTGGGAGAGGGGACGTTTGCGAAGGTGAAGTTTGCGAGGAACATGGAGACTGGTGAACACGTAGCCATCAAGATTCTCGACAAGGAGAAGGTCTTGAGGCATAAAATGATTGGCCAGGTAAAGTTTTTAGTTGACTTTCTGCTATTGATTTGATTTTTTTCCCGTTTTTCTACATTTTTTGTGTGGATTTTAGTGTGAATTTGTTGGGGATTCAGGTCCAAACTAAAGCTACATGCAACATGAAAGTAGAACACAATGGCTTGAAAGTATATATGTTATCTTGATTGCTCAGCTAATCAGTATGAACGTCTGCGAGAAGAGATGATGTCGAACTGTATATGGAATAATGCCCAAAGGAACATGAAGAGTTTAAATAAACATAAATTTAAATTATGACCATGATAACTATATTTAGGGGTTTTTAGGAGAAATTCTTGCCTACACACGGAGTAGGCAAGATGCCTACACCCCTCCAGTGATACATGCCCCCCTCCTATTGGAGAGTTGTAGGCACTTAGGTGCTCCATAAGACCTAAGAATTTCTCGTTTTTCAGAGGAGTCACCCTTAAGTTAGGCTTTATTTTACGTTACCCTCCTTAATTACTCGAGTTTCAAAAAACCAACCCAATGTATTATGTCATTATATAACCACCTATGCTCATTTCCTTCCAATTTTTCATTAATACTAACAAAAAACCAGTTATACCTTCTAATAGGACATTTTACAGCAAACCACCCCTACGTTAAGGCCTATTTCACGATGCCACCCTTAATTACCCAAGTTGCAAAACACCACTCTTAATTACATTCATCTTCATCATTGTTCTTACCTTGTTGCAGTATTGGCTTAATTACAATCATCTTAACTACAACCAAGAGGGATGTAATCAAGGGTGATATTTTGAAACTTGGATAATTCAGGGTGGTTTTGTGAAGTAGACCCTAACTTAGGTGGCTTCGTGAAATAGACCCTAACATAAGGGTGGTTCCCTGTAATCACATGAGAGGTATAATTGAATTTCTATCAATATTAACAAAAAAAACTTTTGACAGAAATAGGCACAGGTGGTTACATGTTGAGGGAATGACAAATAGGGGTTGTTTTTTGAAACTTGAGTAATTAAGGTTGGTAACGTGAAATATGGGCTAATTTAAGGGTGCTATTTTGTTTCACTTCACTACTGAATTCTCCGATCCAGGATTTTAGGTCATGTCGTCATTCTTTCAAGATGACAGATTCCCTGAAAAAAACTGTTCTATTTAATAGGTTAATGAAGGAGTACTAAGGGTCATGGTGATTGTGGTTACAATAGGTCACATTAGTAAAATAGTTAATTGATTAGTTAATAAGTTATATTTATAATATTCATTCCCTTTCCTTTAATGGAATTTCAACAAAATTTAAAGGAGCTGGATTTCTCCGAAAAGGTGCAATTTTGTTCTTGAAGTATTGGTTGGTATTACTTGTTTTCCTTGTAAATATTTTTTAGGTATTTGTATTATGATAAATCTTTTAAGCTAACAATTATTGCATCTTTCTGCTTTGCAGATTAAACGAGAAATCACTACTATGAAATTAATCAAGCACCCAAACATCATACGGATGTATGAGGTAAGAGGGAGATTTTGTATTTAGTCTTTGTAGCAGTAGCTCCCATTTGTATATGGCTCTTTTTACTCATACACTCTTGGGTTATTCTGTTAAACTATTATCAATGAAACACAGTACATTACCACCTGCCACATATCTTAGATAAGAGATGGATTGTGTTTGGACTTTGATTTCAATATAGTTCATGGTCTAGCAAAGATGGATTTATGGTTAAATGTGTCTAGAGTCATGATTCAATTAGGGTTAACCCAAGCTCTGCAGCTTTAGCCATATTATAAGCACACAGTATATATATATTTTAAATAAACAACCATATTTTTGTTAACTGATTGTTGGTGGTGTAGGTGATGGCCAGCAAGACCAAGATATATATTGTTTTGGAGTTTGTGACTGGCGGTGAGCTCTTTGACAAAATTGTAAGATGTTTCACTAGATCTTGAGTTGCGTCCTGAGATTTTACTTTTTGCCACTTGTTTATTTAAAAAAATTTCTGAACTAGTTATTTGATATGCTTGCCTCAGGCTAGTCGCGGGAGGTTGAAGGAGGATGAAGCGAGAAAATATTTTCAGCAGTTAATCAATGCTGTAGACTACTGTCACAGCAGAAGTGTCTTTCATAGGGACTTGAAGGTGAAGTTTTTTTCCCCTTTTTTTCTTGTATTTTTACTAATTTTGTATAATATCTAGTTACAAACTCGAGTTATTTGTTTGTAATAACTTTTTTGTTTTATTTTTGTACAGCCAGAAAATCTATTGTTGGATGCTAGTGGGGCTCTCAAAGTATCAGATTTTGGGCTAAGTGCACTACCTCAACAAGTTCGTGTAAGTCAGAATTTAAGTATTTGTGTATTCTCTGGTGAAATACCGTAGCAAACCTTCAGGGATTGAGCCACGAAGTAACATTTTTTTGTTTTTTAGGCTCTGCAAATTTCTTCTTGATTCCATTAGTAGATGGCTATATTTCTATTTGCTTCAATTTTTAAGGGTTCAGACAAAAAATTCTTCTTTAAACCTTGGTAATAAGAATCAAAATATGTGCATTCAGTTTTAGGATGAGATTTTTCATTAGAGTAACATCTTTGATCTGTAGGACGATGGCTTGCTTCACACAACATGTGGTACTCCAAATTACGTTGCTCCTGAGGTACTCTTTGATGCATGTCATGATTTTTTAGGTCATGAATATAACAACTTTCATGTTCTAGCCTAAGACATTTTGGTTATCTGCTTCGTGTTTTATGGTGAGTGCCTCTTGTTAGGTGATCAATAACAAGGGATATGATGGGGCTAAAGCGGATCTTTGGTCATGTGGAGTAATCCTTTTCGTCCTTATGGCGGGTTACCTTCCTTTTGAAGATTCTAATCTTATGGCACTATATAAAAAGGTGAGATTGTAGTTTATCGAGGCAAGTATATTGTGTTGTGGAGAAACGTAACTTTGGTTCTGTGAAGTGGTTGCAGATATTTAAAGCAGAATTCTCGTGCCCTGTTTGGTTCTCCACAAGTGCAAAGAAACTTATCAAGAGAATTTTGGATCCCAATCCCCAAACTGTGAGTCCTGATTTTTCTTTTACTTGATATATAGGCTGATATAGCTCTATTAATTTAGAGTTAACTGATGCATTTTGGATCTTTGCAGCGTATTACTATCTCTGAAGTGATAGAGAATGAGTGGTTCAAGAAAGGCTACCAGCCACCAAGTTTTGAAACTGTGGATGTCAATCTGGATGATGTTCACAGTATTTTCAATGAATCGGGGGTAATTTTATTTATCTCTTTTATGTTTGGGGTCTAGTGCAGGTGTCGAAGGATCCTTAAGTTGTAAATCATGCAGGAGCTGGCGAATCTTGTTGTTGAGAGACGAGATGAAAGACCCTCTGTGATGAATGCATTTGAACTTATTTCCACATCTCAGGGCTTGAATCTAGGAACCCTATTTGAGAAACCAATGGTACCTGTTTTCTTTCTTTTCATGATGATTAATATATTTTTTATTCATAGAATCATATTTAGGAGTTATAAAGCATATCATGTTTATTAAACTGCACTACCTTTTTCCACTTCATTCATGATTTCAATTCACATAATTTACCCTGTTTTAATGGTTAGTGATGGAGCTGATGACCCTTAATATAACTGAATGAAAGAATGAGGCTCATATAGTCAACTCATAATATTGGGATAGGTGGCTTTGTTGTTGTTGTTGTTGTTGTTATTGGATATTTGTTCCCTGCTTTTAATTCTTTTTTTTTCTTTCAAATCTTTAGCATATGCGTGGCAAAGTATAAACTGATGTCATATTGAATAGCAGGAAATCATATTAATTTGGTGTGTAGACTTTTTTTGTGCTCTGCTGATCTGGCATCTGGAGCTTTTGTAATTGGATCATAGAGCATCTCCAATTTGATAAAATTTATACTTTAATCCGGGAGAATTGAACAGGGGCTTGTGAAGCGGGAAACAAGATTTACTTCAAAACTACCTGCAGATGAGATTCTCTCGAAAATTGAGCAAGCAGCAACCCCGTTGGGATTCAATGTTGAGAAGCGCAATTATAAGGTAACTATCGGTTTTTTTCCCTTGGGCATTAGGACTTTACTTCCTGCTCACATTAAACTTGTAAGTGTATCGTATCTCTTTTACAAAACAACAAATTGCAATTTTCAAAGTATCTAGTGGTTTTCTGGATATATTGGTGTAATTTTTTTTATTGTTTTTAACTCAAATAAGTTAATGTAACTTGCTGGATCATGTTTGCCATGAGAGGCAGCTCACAATTCATTCTTGATTTTGTGTTTGGACTCTTGGTGCTTATGATTTTCTTCACGCATATTGTAAGTATCAGCAGCTATATTAAATCGGTCTTGCCGGAACTGCAAGAGGGAGATGAAACAAAAAGACAACAAAAGGAAAAAAAAAAAACCATTAATAGGAGAATAGAACATTAGAACGAATAGCCACTGAAGAACAGTGATACTTAAAAAGTATGGCCTCTAGGTTGTTCTCTTTCCATTTTGTAACTAAAAGAAGGGTAAATCTCACAGAGCGACCATGAACATCGGGTGTTTTGCACAATACTGTTATAACCTCTATAAACAATTTTGCCCTTTTATAATTACATATCCGTCATAGTACTCTTCTGAACTTTGTAGGTTGATAGATGCAAGGGTAGCCTAATCCTTTTATCCAAAGCTGTTAGTATCAATTCTCAATAGTTCATTGTATTTTTCTACATTGTAAATGTTTGTGATAGTTTTCGCTAATAAAAAGTTAAGGTAATTCTGTGCAAAAACTCCCAAAGTTCATTACATTTTTCAAAAAATGTATCCTTAAAAAAACTCAAAACTAGCCAAAAATACAGATTCTATATCTTCAGTTAGCAACCTTTAGTTTCTTCATTACGTATGTATGTCTAGGGGTGGAAGCAAACCAAATATTTAATAAATAGTTCGGTATTTATTCGTTTAAGTTATTGGTCATATTCGATTCGATAGTTCATTTAATAATTGATGGATAGTTTTTATTATTCGGTTCATAAACGAATAGAATTAACTATGGGTATATTCGATTTATGTGTTTAATAAAATATTTGTTTGTACAGTTTAGTCCTTAAATTTTATTTTGCTGCTTGTAAATGGGAATAAATAGATTTTTATTTGTGAATATTATATATCACTAGGCTACATATTCATCAGGTATATCATATTTGGCTCTATTGCAAGGCTAGGATAACAAATATTTGCCAAATATCTTACAAACATGGACCGAATAATTTGCAAAGATTACCTAAACATTATAAATGAATATTCACGAATAGAATATTCGAACGCTATCCAAATTGAATTCGAATACCGATTTCCTACTCGTTTTGAATTCGTATACGAATTCGAATAGTCGAATAGGAACTGAATGCGAAAACTGGGGTATTCGATTTGAATTTTGGTCGTTTCCACCGCTACCTATGACATCTCAATATTTTTTAGAGCCTCTCGTAAGATTTATGATTTATTTAATGATTTTGTGTTTCTTGCTCTGGATCAAAGAAAACATTTTGCGATTCTTGTCTTGTGATCATTGCAGCTAAGTATCTGAATATTTACTCTGATAAATTACATTTTAGCGAGTGAAATCTCATTTTAATCTCAGTTGAAGCTGCAAGGTGAGAAGAGCGGAAGAAAAGGCCATTTATCTATAGCTACAGAGGTATTGCTTTCTCAAATCACCACAAACACTTTCCTTTGAAACTAAAAAATTTAAATTCGCTAAAAACAGTATACATCTCTCTTTTTTCTACCGCAAGGTTTTCGAAGTAGCGCCTTCGCTGTGCATGGTGGAGCTCCGTAAGGCAAAGGGAGACACTCTCGAGTTCCATAAGGTCTGCAATCACAAAATACCTTCATTTATCATCTGCTCTCTTTTCATTATACTGATTGAAGGCTTCTTCTCTATTTTTCTTAATCTCGTGCCAGTTCTATAAGAACATGTCGACGGGATTGAAAGATATCGTATGGCATCAACAAGAAGAGGCGAAGGGTGCAGGCGACAGTTAAAATGTCAGTTGTAGCAGTTGGTCGAGAGTATCGTAATATGCGTGCTGATTGTTAGTGGAAACTCGAAGAGAGTTTATAAGACATTGTTATGATCAAAAGGAAAATAAAATTTATGCGTGAAAGAGAGCAATTGTACCATTTAATACAGAATATGTTGTTTGATTCAAAAATGAGACTGTGATGGGAAGGGACAGTAGCTTGTTCTGTTGAAATTTAAAGTGAACTTAATTATATTCAGATTTTTTTTTTTTTTGATTGTTGTTGTTGAAAAAGAAAAGACGACCAACAAGCCACATCAATTAATTTCTTGACAGAGGTAATGATATAACTTTTGGTTATCCGAGAAAAAGACGCATATTAAAAAGTTCAATGGAAAAAAATTAGAATATGTGCAAATTAGAATATGACCAACACGCCACATCAATTAATTTCTTAGACGAGAATATATATTTTGATAGGGCAGAAAGAAAGAGGGAAGACGTTGTGTAAAAGCCGTTCTTAACTTTTCCAAAGCAAATTTCAAACACTAGAAGAAAGAACAAAAAAAATTTAACTGTTCTTTTCTTTTATAAGTCAAAGATAGAAAATTTCATCTTGCTTTACTTTATAAAGAAAACAATGAAATCGTATGCTAGAAATGCAGAGTTTATACATGAGTATTTATTAGACTCAATAAACATGAGTAAACTGGATTTAATTGACTATTTTTAACCCACCAACTTTCAATATCATTCTATGGTAATTTTTTTTTATGAATTGTGTAGCAGCTTCAGATATGGTGTGGGAAGTTATATTTTTCTATAACTTGCTATATTTTTTTCTCCCTCTAACTGTTAAGCATACAATGTAGTAGACTTTCAAAGATGATTTTTCTTAGTTTTTTCACACAAATGTTATGGCATTGTGAACTTTAAATGATTTTTTTTGCTATAAACCCATAGTTCTATCTCCATTTACTTTCAAACGAACATACTTCCGAAAAAAAAGGTTTTTGTATTTATATACCCAAAGTTTTACCATATTTATTTCTAGACTCGTCCACTTCTAAAGTCATTCTTAAAACCAAAATACCTAAAATTGTTTTTTGATCCAATTTGTGTGTCAACACTTTCATATAGAGGCTGTTTGGTTCCTGTTTTTTGGGTGGTAAAAGTGGGGAAAGCTGTCAAAAATGTCAGCTTTTTGGCAGCTTTCCCCCAAAATCACCTCTTAAAAAGGTGATTTTGGGGGAAAGCTGGCAAAAAGCTGACATTTTTGGCAGCTTTCTCCTTTTTTACCACCCAAAAAAACATATCCAAACAGCTAGTGTAAGCTGCTTTTTTCGGTTGGAACTTGCTATACTTTTTATTTGGCTAAATTACTAGATTGATATTTTTAATAAGATCATATTTCTAGTATGGTTTTTTTTTCTGACTTGAGGCGTTATGATATTAATATCAACAATTGATGTCAATTTGGTATTATGTTTTTATAGGAAAAAGATAACCAAATTGTTATGTTTAGAACTAGAAGAAATAACGAAATTGGTATTAATTTTGATATTAATACCATAATGTCGCGAGTGAAAGAAACAATGCGAAATTGGAAAAAGGGTCCTACTAAAAATATCAATTTGGTAATTTGGTCCTTCTTTTATCCTAAATGATTAATTTTATGGCGTATTTTGATATCAAATGTTTAAACCGTATTATATTTTTTCTCTTTTTACACATTGATGTCGTGGCATCATGCAGGTTAATTTTGCTCGTTTACCCTCTAATTCTGCTATGTTGAGTTTATTAAGGCATTTTTTCATGTTATTTATATTTTTCCTTCAAATTTTACGTGAAATTTTCCATTTTCACGATAAAAAACCAATAACCTTATGTTTGAGAAGTGTTTTACTCCAAAGTAGCAAATATCTACATTATTGAGGGTAAATTCCACTGCTCCCACGCTCTGAATGCTGCTGCAACTAAATTAACAACGTTTCTATTAAGGGTCAGTTCGTTTGCCTAAAAAAAGAGGGAAATCAAAGAAAATGAAACCTATTTCTAAGAAAAATAGGTTTTTGAATTGTTTGGTTGGCTAAAAAAAGAAGGAAATCAAAGAAATGGAGATGAGATGAGATGAGTTGTCACATTATTATTGGATGATGTGAGTGATTTTTTAAGAAAACTAGTTTTGATGTTGTTTGGTTGGCGAAAAAAATAAGGAAATGAATTATAAGAAACTTATTTCCTGTAGTTTGTTGTTTTCTTTTGTTTGGTTCATTCTTAAAAATAAGAAATGAAATGAGATGAGATGAGTTGTCAATGTATTATTGGGTGGTGTGACCCACACTTAAGAAAAGTGTTTTCACAACTTTTTAGGATGAAAACAAAGAAATGAAATGTTAATGAGATGAGGTGAATTATTATAATATTTTATTGGATGATATGAGTGATTTGAAATGATGAGAAGAGATGAGATGGGTGATGTTTGGATGAAAATAATATTTTATTAGATGTGATGGATGAGTTGTTAGATAAAAATAATATTTTATTAGATGTGATGTATGAGTGGTTAGATGAAAATAATATTTTATTAGATGATGTGGATGAGTTGTTGGATGAAAATAATATTTTATTAGATGTTGTGGGTGAGTTTTAGGGATGGAAATTGAAGAAATAGAACTTTTTGAGATTTTCACCTTTTCCATTTCCATTTCTTGATTTTTAGGAAATAACCGAACAGACCCTAAGAGAGAGAGGAAGAAGCAGATCAAGACTGAGTTCTGGTTCTAAGTCCACAAAGTCATTTTACAAAGATAACTATTTCTTTTTTACTTATAGTTTGTAATTTTGAGTTTTTCAAGTTCTCTTGCGTGATATAATATACACATACTCTCTGCACTTGTTTCAAAGTATTGAATATCTATTACTCTATAATAACAGGAGGATCTAAAGATTTACTATTCATTCTACAATAATGATACAGTAAATTACTGCAGCACATAAGGGAACTATAGTGCTTGAAAATATTATTATAGCATTATCACTGTAGCGCATGTTGGATAGGGAATTCCTATTCTATTTTGGTAACATAAGGTTATTAGGATTCCTATTCTATTTTGGTAACATGAGGTTATTAGGATTCCTAATCTATTTTGGTAATAGGTTATTAGGATTCCTAATTTGATTTGGTTTTGGTTTAGAATTCCTAGTATGTTTATGATTTTAGGATTTCTATATATATGGAACAATTGGAAGAGAAAATTGGAGGAGAAGAAAAATTGGGGATATTTGGAGCACAGAAAAGAGGTGTTTTCTGAGCTATTTGCTTAGGTTTTTGTTTGGAGAGATTAAGAGCTTGTTGGTGAGATTAGTTTGTTCCTTCGAGTGATTTGTAATCTCAATTTGTACTCTTTCTCTATTAGTGAAAACCCCATCTCCTTCTTGCCCCGTGGACGTAGGCAATTGCCGAACCACGTAAAACTATTGTGTTTGAATTTGTGCCGTTGTTTTGATTTGTTTGGCCTTTATCTCGACGTTTGTTTGATTTGGTTCTCGAAGCACGCCCGTTTGGTTGTCACGCTTCTGCGACGCGCACAACAATTGGTATCAGAGCTCCAGATTTTAGATCTAGGATTTTGTCTTGGTTGGAGGAGTAGATCAATTTGGAAGTTCGGCTAGGGCTTCGTTTGGTGAGAAAGGTGAGATTTTTTTGGTAAAGACTCTATCTTTTTTAGTTTGGATCTATTCTTCGTTTATTCTGCATTGGTTTGTTGGCGCTTGGGCTATTTGGAGGAGTAGATCGCTTTGGAGGATCTTCGAGGGCTTCGTTTGGAGATAAATGTGAGATTTTTCCTATTTGTGAATCTCGTTGCCGTCGTGCGGGGTGAGATCGTTTGGAGACTCTTGTTAGAGTTTCATTTGGAGGTAAAATTCTCTCCTTTATCAGTTTGGATCTATTCTTCATGTGTTGGTGCTTTGAGATAGTTGACCGAGATAGAAGGATTTGAGGCTGGGTTATTTGTTTATTGATACGATGCATTGGATTATTGAGAAGTGCCCTTGACCTGCATATTGAAGTCCTTTTGAGCACGTTGGTATGAGCAAGGAGACCGAGGTGGAGTTTGGCACTTCTATTTGATGATTGAGGGGTCTTTTATTTGGTGTTCATTCAGGCATTTAGGGGCTTTCCAAGGAGGCATCATTGGAAGGTAAATTGGTATTTTGGTTTCCTATGTTGGGGATTGTACTAGGCATTTATGGGTTGCAACCAAATCCCGTTGGTTTTGAAGTCCTAGTAGTCAACAACAGTTGAAGAAGTGTATTGGGAGTAAGGTGAAGGTACTTCATTCTGGTTGTAGAAGGAGGTACAAGAGGGACCTACTGTATTTGTGTCGAGCTCATGGCAGTTTGAGACACTTCATTGGAGAGGAAACATTAGGGCGATGAGATGAGATGACAGTTTCGATGGGTCGTTCCTTTTTTAAGGGGGACCGGCGTTTGATGTCGAGCATTGGCATTGGTGTGCGGACTTCGACATATTTTGGTCATCTTATGCATAGGTCGCCGACTGCTGCATTAGGAGTTATTGGATCTGGTGGAGCTGCTTCAGATTTTGGTTGGCGTCGGATATTTGGTTGCCCAGAATTTGCTCACATCGAGGATGTGGGATTTGATCCGATTGCGCGTTTGGGATTCGGAGGCTCATTTGATTATTTGTTAATGTCACTTTTGACTCTCAGCAGGTGGATAGTGTTGATCAGGTCGTTTGGATATCGCAGCAGGTGGAGGGTGATGCTACTCCACGTTGGGTGGCGTTTACTCCACACACTTCAGATCATACTGCATCGTTTGGGATTCCAGCTGAAGTGACACAGATTAGGGATCATTTGGATTTGGATGCAGATGATATTGGTGAAGAGTTGCAGACTTTTCTATTTGTTTGAGGGCCTTTGGAGGCTATTTGGGTGAACTACGTGAATGCTTGATTCCTTGGGCAAGAGGATACGTAGGCAGTCAGTTTTGATGCAGCCGATTTGGTGAGTAGATATCGACATTTGGGTGAGTGTTCGCACTCCCGTTTGGGTCTCGACTTGTGTGGATGGAGTCCATTGTCATGAGTTCGTTGCCGTGGCGTACTGGACGCAACAAGTGAGGCATTTGGTTTGGTCGGTGTCGGCTCAGTTTTGGGAAAACTTCGCCGATGTGGAGAATTGTTGGATAGGGAATTCCTATTCTATTTTGGTAACATAAAGTTATTAGGATTCCTATTCTATTTTGGTAACATGAGGTTATTAGGATTCCTAATCTATTTTGGTAATAGGTTATTAGGATTCCTAATTTGATTTGGTTTTGATTTAGAATTCCTAGTATGTTTATGAATTTAGGATTTCTATATATATGGAACAATTGGAAGAGAAAATTGGAGGAGAAGAAAAATTGGGGATATTTGGAGCACAGAAAAGAGGTGTTTTCTGAGATATTTGTTTAGGGTTTTGTTTGGAGAGATTAAGAGCTTGTTGGTGAGATTAGTTTGTTCCTTCGAGTGATTTGTAATCTCAGTTTGTGCTCTTTCTCTATTAGTGAAAACCCCATCTCCTTCTTGCCCCGTGGACGTAGGCAATTGCCGAACCATGTAAAACTATTGTGTTTGGATTTGTGCCGTTGTTTTGATTTATTTGGCCTTTATCTCGACGTTTGTTTGATTTGGTTCTCGAAGCACGCCCGTTTGGTTGTCACGCTTCCGCGACGCGCACAACAGCGCAATGGGGCATTATAGTTTTTTTAAAAAGGTTACTGCAGCACGCACAAAAAACAGTTAAAACAGAATTACCGCAGCGGCTATTACTGTAGCACATACGGGGATTGTAGTGTTCTAAAAATATCACTGTAGCACAGCGTGATACTGCAAATGTAACCGTAGCACTTACAAAAAACATTTAAAAACAGAATTACAAAATTACTGTCTCGAAAAAAAATAAGAGATCGTGTTTTGCACGTGGTGCACACTAATATGATTAGATGGTCGCATTGATTTTTTTCCCCCTTCCAACTTACGTGCCAACATATGCAGAAATTTACAATTTGAAACTATTGCCTCAAATTCACTTTTGGGGTTGTGGTTGCGTTTTGAATATTTCATACGGGTGAGTAACTTTGTTTATCTATTTACCTAAAGATGGTTATTTCTAGATTTTGAGAAATAACAGCTACTTTCCATTGCAATTCTCAGTAATACTTTTAAATTAGAATTTGACACATTTGTTTGAGATAACTTCTTCCGACTTTTGATCTCATTTTATTTTATTGGAAAAGTAAAGTGAATACAATATATATTCATGGAGTCTAAAAGTAAAGTGAAATTTATGGAGTCTTAAAAGTAAGTGAATACAATATATATTCAAATCCTTACATTTTCATGTTAATATATACCTCGAGGTATTTTAATACTGTTTATTTAGTAGCGAGCACGTTCTTGTCACTCTTCGACAGTGTTTGTCTAAACTAATATATCTAATTTACAATTATTGACTTTATCCATCCAAAAAGGCATATGAGAACATGTTGCAGTTAACACAATATTAAAAATTAGAGATAATATATGTATTCTGTGAAAATATTTTCTATATGTACATTTATTGTTATTTGAATTGTCAAACGCTTAGGGGGTGTTTGGTTCAATTTCTACAAATTATACGAAATGTTTTCCACTCAAAATATAATTTCCTTGTATTTCCTAAAAAATGTATAGGAAAAATTTTGAGAAGGGAAAAAGAACTAGTTTTTTTTTACTTTGCTTGTTTGGTTCAAAACAAGAAAATGACCCATAATTTTATAGAAAATAGCAAGATTTTATATAATTTGTAGAAATTGAACCAAACACCCCCTAAATTTATAGAAAAGTATAAATTTTATAAAAAAATATCAATATGGTATCAGATTTCTGGGTGATTTCCACCCATTTTGAGAGGAAATTGATTTCTGTAAATTTTGGTATTTTTTTGTACTTTACAGAAAATATTTCTGTAATTTTTTTTGAACCAAACACAATTTACAGAAATATACAGGAAATTTTTAATTACAGAATTACCATTGTTAGACATTTTGAAAAAACTTTTCTATAAAATTGTGCAACCAAACACCCCTTTACATATTGTAAGCGAGATATGTTGAACTCAGTTGGTATGTCGAAGTTATTATTACCTATCCTCAATTATTAATTTGTTGCTAATTATTTTTTCTTCCACAAATGTGGACCGTACGGTCCGTACCATGTATGCGCCTCGCGCACCAGAGTTCTGGTGCAGGTTTAAAAAAACATGAAAAAGGGGTTAGCATCCGCATCCGTATCCGAATCCGAACCCGAAACGGATTCGTGGACGCCATCGGGTCAAACTTGTGGGCCCAAGGCGGCTCTGCAGCTAAAAGCCCGGGCGTTCACCTGCGGGGCGCACGTTAGCATCCCCCGGTATCAATCGACGCCCGAAGCCAAAATTCCCCGAAGTAGAAAGTAGGTCATTTTCCTTTTCGAGATCGAGAGGAATCGAGAGATAGATATGAGAGAGGAGGTGATAAGCTCGGGGACAGTGGATCCAGTTCCTGCGGTTGGTAGATCCGCTTCTCCTCCCCAAACTCCGGCGGCGAGGTACGAAACCCTAGATTTTGACCTATCTTCGATTTGTTGAAACCCTAGAATTTGACTGATACAGTTGTTTAGCTCTAGCTTCGACTCGTTGAAACCCTAAAAAAATTGTAAATTTCGGCTTAAGGGGGACGTTTTTATGTTTAGTTTAGGTTAAAGGCATTGGCTTTGCTTGAAATACTAGTGAAGCCGCTACAATTATGGAATCCCAAATTTGATCGATGCGGTTGTTAGCACTAGCTTTGATTCATTTCTCTTTACTGTTATGTTCCTTTTTTTTTTGTTTTGATTGGGGCTTGCTGGATTTGAATTGGTCAGTTTTTGTCGGGTGCTGTCTGTTTGATGGAGCGCTCTAAAAAGTTGAAGCCAATGTTGTATAAGAATCTCTTTTCCTGCATTTACTAGCTTTCCTCAGCTGAAGCTGCCAAAATTCTGCAATATTGACTACACTGTGTATTTTGGTTAGTATTTAGTTTTGAGGATTTTTTTTTGGAGAAAAAGCCTGAGCCCACAATTTATTGATAGTAAACTAAGTTTTGAGGAAAGACGAGCTGATTTTCTGGAAGATATGTTTAATTTTGCCTGGAGGAAAGAGAATATGGAAATTGCGCTTAGTGGCAAATATCCGAGTTATCTTGAAAATGTTTTTCTGTAACTGTATTTTTTTTCTTGTGGTAGAAGTGGAGGAATGTCAATCGTATAATCACCTTTGGGAATTTTCGCTAATCGCAAAATATTTCAGTTCTCTGAAAGTGAAAGATATACTAGACATTCCAAGTATGGGAAAACAGATGTAAAGGGGATCAGTCCTGCAATTTTGTGTAAACTAAACAAACTGCCATGAAATCTCAGCACTGTCATAGAAAACTACCACGAGCTGCCGAGTTGGCTATATTATGTCACTATGAAATATTTATTTGCCACTGTGAACTAACTTTTAAGGATGAAGGTGTTCTTACATCATCTTCTTATACCTCCTCTTTCTAACTACTACTGCTGCTACTCATTCAAACAAATTAAAACCAGGAAAATACTTTTCTCATTCTATGAACTGGAGAGAATATTTTATCTGCCTGTAAATTGTTCTCTACAGGATAGAAGTATGAGTAGTGAGTGATTCTAGCGATTTGATCCTATTAATATTTGCGAAAATCTTGTCATTTATTTTCCTTTTCCAGTTGGCTTCAATTGGTCTGAAAAAAAAACAGAGAAATATGTGTTCGAGTATTTGGATTGGAGAGGATCAATTCTGGTTCTTTTCCATGGGCTTGAAAAATATGATGGACTCGAGATGATATTTTTAACGAGTTTTAATGGCTTCAAAGTAGATGGATTGGTTTATAAAAAGGTGACTTTTTGTTGGGTTTCAATGTGTTTGAAGCAGTATGATTGCAACGAAGATTTTGAATGGATTTGGAAAAGTGACTTATTATGGATTTGTTGATCACTGGTTAAATTATGAAAACATTAAATATCTTATCTGTGAGGGTTGACATTATATTTTCTGCAGAGACTTTTATTATTATTAGTTAACGAAATACCAATTTTGTTCTTAATGGTTTGATCTATGGAGAAATCTTTACTGCTAATATTATTACTGTTGTTGTTAACATTAGTATCTGCTAATCTTACTACAACTACTATTACTGTCTACTGTTATTATTATTATTATTATTATTATTATTATTATTAATTTGTCGGTAGCCTACATTTGAGCTTGGTCCTTTCGCATTTGGTGATTAAATGAATAATCAGGCAATACTCATTCTTGATCTTCCGGAGAAATGCCCTTATTATTAATGTTTTTAATTACCAATAGAAGTTACTAGTTGTTTTCTACAAAGAAAACAATTGCAATAATTTTTTTTTGTGTATTCTAGCCTACAAAACGGGGAAAGGCTATGATGCACGGATACAGATACAGATACGGGACATGGATACGACACAGACACAGATACGAGATACGGCAACATAAAAAAAATAGGATACGAGGATACGACAAGGATTTTTTTTAAAATTATTATTATATATAGATGGAACGTAATACAAAAATATCGATTTAGTATAAATGAGTAACTTTCTCCATCAGATTTATGATAATAATATGATGCTGGGCTGCTATTCGAACTCAAAAACTGGAGGAGATGATGATGACATTGGTGGTGGTTGTGCTGGACGGGGAAGAGGAATGGAGGGTGGACTTGAGGAGTCGGAGGAAGGAGGAGTCGGTTGGCGGGATCGGGTCGGAACAGTGGAGCGGTCGACGGGATCGGGTCGGAACAGCGGAGGTGATTGAATCGAACATGAGTGAGCTGAGAGATTGAGAGAGAGGATTAGGGTTTTAGGATTAGGGTTTTTTCTTTTTTTCTTTCGTTTGAGTCAGCTGATGATCGAATCGAACGAGAGATTTGAGAAACATGGATGTGTTTTTTAATCGAACGGTTCGGGTTGGATTTTAACAACCAAACCCGCAACCTGAATGAATCGGCTTTCAGCGAATCCGAGCTGTGTCCGAGCTCCTTTGACCGTGTCCGAGCCTAATTTGACCGTTGACCTGTGTCGGACACGGATTGACTGTGTCCGACACATGTCGTGCACGTGTCGTGCACGTGTCGTGACGAATCCGTGCTTAAGAGGGGAAAGGTACATTCAACCTTTCCAGTTACCGTTATCTGGAATTTTTATGTTAAAAGTATAGTTCTTGGCAACTGTACTTTATTAGAAAGCAACTTACGGGGTTATTCTTATTTTTTGTGTGTCAGTGCTAATATCATTTTAGTTTCTTGTACTTTTAGCCTTTAATTTGATCTATTATCAGAATTCATGTTGGGAGATAAAAAATGAGAAAATCAAACAAATATAATAAAATTAAGTTTTGTCCAAGAGAATTGTAGTTGTAATAAACTAAATCATTGACCCTAAAAACTTGCAGCTTTCAGTACTTCAAATTTGATCCTTATGTGATAATCCAAAATCCAAATGAATAATCACGCATGAAGATGAAGTATGTAACAGAAGGGTCTCTCTATAGTTTTGAGAGCTCAAAAGTTAATTTTAGCTGGGATTTTTTGTGAGAGGAAGCAGTGGAAAACTTCATAGTTAAGCGTGGTAGTAATAGAATGGTACAAAACTCCTCTATTGCTTATCCATAGAAATTATGTCTAGGGAATGACTTCCATGTTTCTGAATTGGCGGGTTTTAATTGATTTTCTGATTTGACTTTAATGCATGCATAATCTGGTGGCAAATTTGACCTTCGACTGAATGTTAGGATTTTTATTTGACTAACTCCAGGATGGTTCATTCTTTAGAATTATCCTTGTACTGTTGCATGAGTAGCTTACTATTCTTATGCGACCCCCTACTTATGTGCTATTTTATTTCTATTTTTCCTTCTATGTTGATGTAATCCCAGTGTTGCATGAATTTTTTTGCCTGTATGAAAGGTATGCTCACTGTTTTTTCCAGAAAATGTTATTTTCATACAGTGGATATAAAGACTACGAAAGCAGCTGTCAATGTTTGACTTTAGGCGTTACATGTTGCTTTATTATGATCATGCATACTAGAATTCGTTTCTTGTTGCAATTTTCTTATTATACTAAGTTTGATTTACTCACACCAGTTCTGCTGGGGCATCTTCACCTGCTGTGCCTACAAATGTAGGCAGCATAGATTGGTTGGGCAGTGCACAAGGTTCTAAAGGTGGCTCTCAATCTGGTATTGGTCAGCAGCCCCCGAAAACATCCTTGAGCACAAATGCTATCGCTGATGGTTCTACTCGGGGTTCCTCACAACCTTTGTGTAGGCCATGGGAGCGAGGGGATTTACTTTGCCGTCTTGCCACATTTAAGCCCTCAAACTGGTCAGGGAAACCAAAGGTTTGTTTTCTTCCTCATGAATAACTCAGTTTCCAGTTATGTTGTGGATATCTCTGTAAACTGGCGTTGGAGTTTCTTCATAGATGAATTTTTTGTACATGAGATTCTGATTGTAGGTTCAGAATACTTCAGATTTATTATAAAATGATGCTAACCTTGCAAATTTGAAGTGTAAAAGAAGCTGATGTGAATGTAACATTTTCCTGATTTGTTATACTGCCGGAGAGAGATTCTTCATGCATGCATGGTTAAACTTTTGTCATCAAAATGCTAAGGTCATTTGAACTTTGAAGTAACATCTTCACTGTTCTTAGGTCTGAGATGTTTTACATTAAAAAAGAAAGCTAAATCGCACTTACATACCGTGTTGCGTCTACTCTTCACTTATATACCTCCACTGTATATATAGATACATATCTACACACACACACACACACACACACACACACACACACACACACACATATATATATATATATATATATATATATATATATATATATATATATATATATATATATATAGGTGAAAACTTGTGTCAAGTTGTGCATAGAGAAGCAGGACAAGAGTGTAGCAAGGTTGCTGATAGCGGATCGCGTCGCGGCGAGGTACCGCTAAGGCTATTTCGGACTATTGCGGCGAAATAGCGGCAAATAGCGCACGGTCAAATAGCGGTCAAATATAAATATATTTAAATATTCTAAATAATAAGAAAAATCATATAAAAATCTAAAAATTCTACAAATGCATAATTGATGCCTAAACATGAAATATATGTGTAATAATTACATAATATTAACAAAGGACTAATTATAAATATTAAAGAATGAAAAAACATACCTGTTTAATAAAAAGACCGTTATCAACTCATCACAAATGCCAGCCAACTCATCACAAATCAGCTTTGCCTCTCCCCCAATAGTACTCACGACATTCATTCTCCCAAAATCCTAATTAAATAACAAAAACTTTTCTTCCTCCACCTTTTGAAAACAAACTCTATATATAAACTAAACAAATACCCATTAACAGTACTCTGCCCCCTCTCCAATCCATTTCAAACCCACCCAACCCTTGGGCTAGGGCTCTCTCCTCTCGCCTTCGTCTTTGAGACAATGGAAAAAAAGAAAAAAAAAGTTAAGAGTTACAACACTAACCGGAGGAAGTGAGAAATTCGACGTTGATCGAAGGCTAGTCGATCAGTCCACGAATCTGGAAGTTGTCGCTGTTGGTGACGGAGTCGACGTTGATCAGAGGCGAGAGAGGCGATAGGCGGGAGTGGCTGTTGGTGAGGAAGTCGTCGAGCTGCACCAACCTCGTTAGGCTTTACTCTGTTCAATATATCTTAAGATCATGAAAGGTATATCAAATAGGGAATACCTGAAATTGAAGCAGGCGTAAATAGATACAAGGTTATATAACACCTTCCGCAAATCGTAGCAATCATCTAAAATTCTCAAAAGAACATGCTTCAATTTTCCGGCTGAATGTAATGATCCCATTACACAATTAGCATTACGTGTCCAACTCACTGTTTTAAATATCGGTCGATAATCGATATTATCGGCCGAGTTATCGGATTTGGGAGCTCTCCGCTAGGATAAATTGGATTTTTAATCGGTTATCGTTTTTGTAGGTTTATCGGCGATTTATCGACGTTATCGGCACTTATCGGCCGATAAGTAAGACTTTTTTATCGGGATTATCGGGATTATCGGCCCATTTTGACTAACATTATATTTTTTCAAGGATATGATGCAAGTTTCGCTTTCTACAATTTGTTAGTGATTTATCCGATAAGAATTTTGCCCGTCCGATAAATCCCCGATAACCGATATTTAAAACCTTGGTCAGGAGAGGCGGGAGGCGGAAGGGAGGCAGCTAGGGCATCTTGAGTATTGATATTTTTTCAAGGATATGATGCAAGTTTCGCTTTCTACAATTTGTTAGTGATTCTAAACATGATGATTTACATTTTGGTATGTTTATATTTCATTAAGCATGATTAGATTATATTTTTTAATTGTTCGCTTTCTACAATTTGTTAGTGATTCTAAACATGATGATTTACATTTTGGTATGTTTATATTTCATTAAGCATGATTAGATTATATTTTTTAATTGTTATATTATATATACACATCATCCAGTATATCACTCTGATAAATACTACTTATCCCCGATATATCCCCGATTTCCGCATTAGATTATATTTTTTAATTGTTATATTATATATACACATCATCCAGTATATCACTCTGATAAATACTACTTATCCCCGATATATCCCCGATTTCCGCTATC